CATTCTACAACAGTGGCACTATGCAGTATCTGTCCTTTTGTGACTGAGATATTTCATTCAGCATAAATAATGTCCTCCAAAGTCACCCATTTTTAATAATACTGCATGAGTTCCTTGTTTTTCAATGCAGCATAGTATTCTATTTTGTGAATATACCACAGCTTCTCTATCCTTTCGTTTGTTGGTGGGCACTTGGGTTGTTTCCAACTCTTTGCTATTGTGAACAAAATAGCAGTAAACATGGGTGTGCATATATCTGGCTGGGTGACAGTTATGATTTCTTTAGAGTATATTCCCAGTAGAGGAATTGCTGGGTCAAATGGTATTACTATTTGCAACTTTTTGAGAAAGCACCATACAGCCTTCCATAGTGGCTGCACCATTTTAACCTCTCACCAACAGTGCATAAGGGTTCCCGTTTTTCCGCAATTTTGCCGGCATTTGTTTGCTTCCAGTCATTTTTTAAAAATAATCTTCACCACATCCAGCCCCCAGGGAGAGCTGCCTGGCTCCCCAAAAAGGGCCATCAGGTTGTTGGGGAGAGCCACCTAGTATATATGAGGAATTTTATCTAAGCCACTATCCTCCACCTCCTTCTTCAGTACATCTGTAACACCTCCAAAGCCCTTCTCTTTGTAACTCACAAGTTTGTTCTCTCTAGGTTGCTCCCTTTCCTATAGGTAACATTAACACTGAGCCTGGCTCCAGACCTGAATCCTGAGCACATTTCCAGAGACGAAAGGGAAATATAACTGTCAGCTAAGGAAGCAAAGGAGGTTGGAGCCTCATGGTTCAGCCAGCCACCCCCACTGAACTCACCTTGGCAAACATTTTACAGTCAAGAAAGCAGGAAACATCAAGAAAATATCTTCTAACTGAACAAGAAGGCGTGCAGCTTCAACTGAGGATCACCAGTAAAGTGTTAAAGTGGGCTCCCACTCCCCTTCATCTCAACGTCCCTATTCAGCATGAAGACACCAGAGTCTATGCCACATTCCCAAAGGAGAAACCTACAAATGAAAAAAGACAATTTCTTTGTTAAAAAAAAATTAATCACCATGGGACTATGCCCACCATTACCCTGTCTTTTCTGGTCTCTACTGGATCTTTCTCATTTCCTTCGCCCACTCCCTCCACCCACCTAATTGTGCAGCCCCTGCCCATCCTCACTCTTCTGTTCCTATCTCTAACCCCCTTGTATCCCCATGCATGTTTTTGATAATTAAAAAAATCTTCAGTAGGATTTTGCTTGTGTGTGATATTAGTGATATTGTTCAATACTTTCCACACTCTGTCTGGTCGCCTTTTTTTTTTTGAAGGGGAATAAATATAAATCTCTTCTAGTCAGTTGGCCAGGTGGTTGTCTTCCAGATTTCTTGACACAACCTGGTGAGCACTTCCAGGGCTGCATCTGTTACTTGAAATATGTGAATTGATAGTCCGTCAATTCCTGGAACCTTGTTTTTTGCCATTTCCTTCAGAGAAGCTTGAACTTCCTTCTTCATCACCAATTCTTTTTGATACAATGACTCTGTAGGCTCCTTCCATCTTCTTTTAATGCTTCTTGGATCATTCAATATTCTGCTCATAGAATTCTTAAATATTGTGACTCAAGGCTTGAATTTGTCCTTCAGTTCCTTCAGGTTAAGAAATGCTGAGTGAATTTGATACTGGTCTTCTTTTGTCATCCTTATTCATTGTCCAGCTCTCAAATGAGTGGGCAACCTTCACATGAACAGTTAGTTACGTTATTGAAAAGGGTATGGCCTGAATTAAGTTCACCTTAGTCTTCAAACTAACATTATAGCTCCTCAGTAATTTTGAGAGGTCCTTGACAAGCCCACTTACCCAGTGCAGTATGTCTCCTGATCGCCTGACTGCTGGTACCAAATGTATTGGTTGTAGATCCAAGTAAGATGAAGTTATTGACAGTTTAAGTCTTTTCTCCATCTGTCATGATGTTGCCTATCAGTTCAGTGATGAGAATTTTTGTTTTCTTTTTTTAAAATTTTTGTTTTCTTTGCATTGAATGCAATCCATATTGAAGGCTATACTGTTTGATCTTCTGCAATAACCGCTTCAAGACCTCTTCACTTTCAACAACCAAGGTTGTTGTGTTACTGGCATAAAGAAGGTTATGACGCATCATCACCTCATCCTGATGCCATGTTCTTCTTCATAGAGTCCAGCTTCTCAAACTATTTGTTCAGCATATAGATTGTAAGTATGGGAAAAGGACACAACTCTGACACATACCTTTCTTAATTTCTTTTTTTTTATTATTATTAAATTTTATTAGTTTCAATGAACATTCACAGGGATTCTGGGCTTTCACTCCTTCATTGCCGCACCATTCTCTCCACCCTCCTCTCCAGTTTGTTCTTCTTCCCTGCGATCCGAATGTCTGTTTTA